TTGTGCCACATTTGAAGAAGTTGAAACGTAAATGCTTAAGTTCTTTAAATGTTCTCAAGGTGTTGTCCCACATTTCATGGGGATCGGACAGGCGATGCCTCTTACGATTATACAACTTCCTGGTTCGGTCTCGGCTTTACTACGGTGCAGTCGTGTATGATTCGGCACGATCCTCTACTTTGAACATGCTAGATCCCGTTCACCACTTAGGGCTCAGACTTGCCTCCGGTGCATTTCGTACATCACCTGTGTTAAGCCTATATGCCGATACACATCAGATGTCGCTTGAGAAACGCAGACAGTACCTGAGTCTGTGTTATGCTTATCGGGTCTATTCTAATCCACAACACCCAGTTTACAGTGGCATTCATAGCTGTCGTTTCTCGACTTTTTGAAAACAAGCCGAGCATTGTACGGCCACTCAAATTTCGCATTCAAAATTTCAGTGCTTCCCTTCATGTCCCACTTCATGTTGCCGTGCTAAATTACAGGGACAGAGTTGCTCCTTGGGACGAAGTCCCAATCGTTTGCAACTGGACACTTACAAAATACAGTAAGCGGGTTACCTCCCCACGAATTCTTCAACAGGAGTTCCTTTCATTACAGGAGACATATAGAGGTTACACTGAATTCTATACCGATGGGTCGAAATCCTCGTCTTTTGTTGGCTGCGCAGTATATTCTGGTTCCTTCATAAAATCTCTTCAACTTAACTGTGTGGTAAGCATCTTTTCTGCAGAGCTTTATGGCATTTTACTATCTGTTGATCACATACTAAAAAAAAAATATAAGGAAAGCTATTTACTTTGTTGATTCTCAAAGCGCATTACTGGCTGTGTCCTCACTGCTCCCTACAAAGAATCTTCTTACTCTACATGTACGAGGTAAATTGTATGGAGCCCTCCGACTCGGACATGACATAAAGTTTTGTTGGGTGCCGAGTCATGTCGGGATTCCAGGGAATGAGAAAGCCGATAGCTTGGCTGCATCTGACAAAGATTTAGTAGCAACTTGTGGATTACCTCATCAAGATTTGAAGCCGTTTTTGAAAAAAATCACTCTTGATGTCATGGCAGTTGGAGTGGGACAGAGAGTATCACAATAAGCTTCATGTCATCAAACCCATTTTGGCCCTGTGGGAGAGCTCGCTTTACAGGGAACGGCGTGTAGAGGTTCTGCTCTGCCGCCTACGAATTGGCCACACACGCTTGACGCACTTGCACCTTCTTCGTGACGAAAATGTGAAGCTTTGTTCCCATTGTGGGAAAGGCCTTACAGTGTTACACATTTTATGGCATTGCCCTTTTCACCATCAGTTGCGCCGGTCTAGCTTCCCTGAACTTTTTAGGGGTTATCTTCCCTTTCATCCAATGTTTTTACTTAGTGACTGCCCTTTAGTGCCTTTTCACCGTGTTCTCGACTACCTAACGAAAACTGGCTACCTACACCAGTTGTAATTTTTTTATACTGTTATCTTAAACCGTCTTGTTTAGTGCCAGCTAAACAACATTGAATTGGCGCAATATGACTTCCGTTGTCAATGCGCCACTAAAACCCTAATCATCATCATCATCCCATTTCATCCTGCTCTCCTTCTGGGAGAGAATCCTCTGGTCTCTTTTGAACGAGTAATAGAATTTCTTTGTAGTATCGGCCTTTTACACCGATTATAGCTTTTTGGTTATCCGTTTTGTAAAACCTGTTTTATTGTACAAACCTTCAATTAGTTTGGCGCAGATGACCTCGTAGCTATTGCGCCATAAACCGCCCAAAATCTAATTCTCTACACATCAAAAGAGAAGCCCTGACTCTCCCAAAACTATTGTCGTGACTCTCTATATAAGAGTTAAGTGAACACTTGTTTGGGAGAGTTAAACATACACCAGCCTTCGAAGAGTTATAGTTACACTTTTAAAATAGTGGATTCTGTGACAATCCACTTACACTCCAAAAAGAGTTAAATCGGCACTTTCTTCTTTTTTTTTAAGTGTGCGGTTGACAGCGGGGGGCATCTGCCACTTTATTGTGCAGATTGTGGATGCCAGCCCGACTTCCATCACGCCACAATTGCTGGAAGGTGGGAGATCAGTTGACTAGGGAAATTTTAGATGCCAACACGATACAAAAAAAGCGACTGGGCAATGTGTAAGCCAAGCATCAGTCATTCTATATGGCAAAGAAATATGTTATCTCAACATGCGCTTAACTGGCCATGATGTTGTGGAATGCTGTTGTTTACTTTGGTGCTTCGTTTCAATGAAAATTTCAGTTGAGAGTAAGTGCTTGTCCTATGTATACCCTTCTACTTTGTCTTGTTTTTTTGTGCGCTGTGTCGACTCCACTAATCATGAACCTATTAACCAACGTCGCCACACTAAAAAAAAGTGTTTTGACGCGCAGCTTCTAGATGGCGCTTCAAACATCATCATCATCATCATCGGTGAACTGAAGCGAGTGAGGGGGGTACCCCCTCCCCACGGGAGTTCCACAACTGAGGTATGGTGGCTATAGGGGTAGGCGTACCGAGCGCTCCGCATTCTTGGGTAGTTCCACGCATACTTCGGCAAACCTCACTCATGAGGGCCCTCACTCACCCTCATCTTCACGGGTGAGGTGAGGGTGAGTGAGTTTCTGACCCAGGAAAATTCATGAGTGTGAGGGTGAGTGAGGGCCGTGAGGGCTCTGAGGACCGTGAGTGCGTGAGGGCCGTGAGGGTGGTGAGTGCGTGAGGGCCGTGAGGGCGGTGAGTGGAGTGAGGGCCATGAGTGTGAGAGGGGTGTGAGGGCGGTGAGTGCGTGAGGGGTGTGAGGGCGGTGAGTGCGTGAGGGCGGTGAGGGGAGTGAGGACCATGAGTGTGTGAGGGCGGTGAGTGCGTGAGGGGTGTGAGGGCCATGAGTGCGTGAGGGGCGTGAGGGCGGTGAGTGGCATTAGTGCGTGAGGGGTATGAGGGCCCAGAGGGCGGTGAGTGCATGAGTGGTGCGAGGGCCATGAGTGCGTGAGGGTGGTGAGTGCGTGAGGCCCCATTCAGACGGAGCAACTTTTTCAGCAATTTTGGTGTTGATGGCGGGTTGTTCTCTAGCTTTTCCCAGATCGACACGAATTGCTGAGATCGGGTCCGGCTCGAAATAAGCAAGCAGTTCGGAGCAATTCGAAGTATTCGAGCAATTCGAAGCGACTGCATCCAGTCAGGGACGTGATATTTTCGCGTGATACCTCGTGCCGGTGACGATGACAACGAAAGATTGGTACTGGTTTGAAATTGATCGTTTTTCGAAATAAACTGTTTCAGAAAGGTGCGTTAGTATTCTCAACGAGATTTAAATGCATAAAAACACGTTTATTGCGCGTAATTGTGTGTCTAAATAGTGCAAGAAAAATAAAATTTCATGATGATGATGGCAAATTGCAGCAATTGGTTGCTGCGTGTGAACGCGGGCGGCCCGTGTTGCTGGTGTTGCGACTCAAGTTTCTGGGCGAAATTGCCCCACCCGAAGCTGGCCTAAGTGGCGTGAGGGTCATGAGTGCGTGAGGGGTGTGAGGGCCGTGAGTGCGTGAGGGGTGTGAGGTCCATGAGTCCGTGAGGGGCGTGAGGGCGGTGAGTGGAGTGAGGGCCATGAGTGGTGTGAGGGGTGTGAGGGCGGTGAGTGTGTGAGGGCTGGGAGGGCGATGAGTGCGTGAGGGGCGTGAGGGCCTATGAGTGAATGAGGGGCGTGAGGTCGGTGAGGGTTGTGAGGGCGGTGAGTGCGTGAGGGGCGTAAGGGCCATGAGTGCGTGAGGGGCGTGAGGGCTATGAGTGCGTGAGGGCCGTGAGGTTCAGTGAGGGTGAGTGAAGGGTTGAAGGTGAGTGGGACTGTGAGGATGAGGGTGAGTGAGGGGCTGAAGTTAAGTGTAGCTGTGAGGGCGAGGGTGAGTGAGGGGCTTAGGTGAGTGTGGCTGTGAGGGTGAGGGTGAGTGAGGGCGACCTAAAATGCCTACCTCTGGTTCCACGTGCCGCCGCTTCATGAAGAAAAAGTGGCGCTGTAGCCACGATACCGGTAAGATAGTGGTACATTTCTGCTCGAAGGGGCACGGCGTGAAGAGTCTCAAGCACTGTAGTCTCAAGTGTTGTGCGCGAGCGCGCGGGGCACGAGAGCGCCTCGCACTATACGCGTGCTCATGCAGGACACACTCTACGGGTCGTGCCACTGTGTGCCGCCCGATGGCACCAGGTGCCGGGTACCTGTAAGTACCGGTAAAACCCCTCTATCCTGGGAAAAGTGGCGCCATTCATTGTTGTGGAAATGCTCGAGACACGTGCCGCGCGCCACTTCTGGGAAGAACAGGGCGTCTGAAATCTAACTCAGTGCTACACTATATCAGTGCCCGATCAGTGCTGCGCTGTGCCGCCATGATCTTCCCAAGGGCTGCACGTTCCACGTGCCTCATGCATCGAGGCGCCTTGCGCTACTTTTGAAACATGAAGGGGCTTTAGGTACCGGTGCGCCAACGGCGTCATGAACAAGTGGCATGCTGTCGATTTTGTTTGGCGCACCTCCTCGTGTAGCCACCAAAACTGAGGTAATTAACAACGTTGCTCGACCTGAACCGTTTTTTGTAAACGTCCAGTTCTCTGAGTGACCGCTGCGGAAGAAATGGCGGCGTTGAGATCGTGATAAGTTCGGTTTTTGAGGACGGATCGAAGCCACTTTTTCAAAGCTGGCTCTATGGTTGTTTCCCACCTGAGTTGTTCAAGTCATGTTGAAAGAAGCCGGCAGGCATAATGGAACTTTTATAGAGGGACTGCTCCAGCACACCGTCTTAACTACGTAAATATAAACGTTGTAAATAACTTTAAGATCCATGCTCTCTAAGATAATTAATAAAATGACAATAAAATATGGCAGTATGCTGCTAATGAACAGCCGCATTTTTTTTTTCTTTTTCTTTTTTCTACGAGGTGCCGACGACGATGATGCCGAAGATTGCGTAAATTGCAGCAGTTTCGCCCCGAGCACCCTGAACCATCACAAGTCCGACTCCTTGTCCGAGGCCAAGCTAAAGCTCTGCAAGCAATGATACCAAGCCAGATGAGTTCTAGAAGTAAGGAATGCACATTTACTTATAATACAACGAATCGTTTCTCAAACTATCGGAGCAAACAATGGCGATGAATGAGCAATGTCAACTGGTTCACATAGCGTAGGAATAATACGAATTCATGCAGAGGTCGGACAGCCGTGGTTCCACAGCCAGACAGATAGCAGTAGACCTGTGGGGCAGCCGAAAAATGACGACCGGGACTCGGTCAGTAGAGGCGAAACATAGTATACTGATCACGACCTGCTGCAATCATGACCTTCTGACAGAAGAATGTGCCAACGCGCCTTGTAGTACAGCCCGCGGCCGCTGCGTTTCGTCCCGCCATGACTTCGCGGCGTTACACAAAGGTCGTTTTGTTTCCTAAGGTATCCGCATATCGATCGAAGGCGCACAAGGCGCAGCGGCGTTATCTGGTCGAGACTGAAGTGACTGGATCGTGATAAAGTGGCGCCAAGCTCCACATATGGTCGCCATCTTGGCCCATTAAACGAGCAATTTCTCGTTGACCTCTTCATTCTTGATGAACCGATCTAAATTCGCTCGTGACGGGTAGCTTTATAGATACGTTTCTTGTATACCGAGATTTTGCTATCCACACACCGGCAAAATAAGCGTAGAACTTCGTACCATCACCACATGCGGCGTCGGTGCTTGGGGGCTTCGAAATATGATATTCCTCTTTTGAAATATGCAAGAAGAACAATATAACTGAAAGATATTCGCGGTGATGGGCATGATTCGTAAGTTGATTGCATACACAGTGCCAAATAAGGTTCTATTGGCGAGGAACACCTTCAGTATGATGATGTTCCATGGTGATTTTGGGGTAACTGGATTAGAGCTCGAAGCTTCGAAGATTTAAAGGGGCCGAAATTGCGATTGCCATAGCAACGGAGACCTATTATTAGCCAATCGGCTTAGTCGTCTGTATGTTAGTATTTGTTTGTGTTCGGCTGGCTGGGAGGAAACGCATTGGCGCTACCTGTCTAGGATCCAGTGACTTTAGTCGTGGCCCGCTCTCCTCCCGGGCCTTGGGCATCTCGTCACCCTCGTCAGTCAGTGAGCGCATGACATACTCGAATCGTCACTGGAGGCGCCGGCTGGCAGCACGGTGGCTGATCTTGAGTGATCCGAGAACACGCCTTATTTCGATGATGACACAAGACCAGTCGGAGCTTAGAAACGCCCTTGTGTTTCCGTGCCATGGAAGGGTGGATGTTTGGGTTTCTTGGTTGTTCATTTCATAAAATTTGTGCGTGAGCAGCAAAGATCAGGACGTTCATGTCGTTTTTTCTCATCGTTCTCGTTTTTGCTGCACACGCACAGCTTTTATGAAGTGCCTGATGAACTCTCTTTATTGATCCTATCAAACGTGAAAGTCATGCGTCCTGCTCCTGTACCACTACGTGCAACTGCTAAGCAACTGCAGCCTTTTGGCGCCACGCTACGGTAGGTGTTCCCAAGAAATAGACATCACCAGCCGCGCGCTAGACAGGCAGGCTGTGAACCAAGTTTGGGTCGTAAAAAAGCCTTTGCTGAGCACCCCTAACGGCAAAGCGAGGCACTTCAACGGCGATAGCGTCTCCCATAGGGAGCCATTCTGCGAGAACATCAGGATTACAGTAGGTCGTGAGACTGATAGTGCCTGACCAGTCGCCGATCGCCAGCTATCACCACAAGGGTGCGCCGGTTTCGGACAGAAAACGTGAACGACATGGTTAAGCCTCTCTCGTGTATTCTTACATTTTTGTTTCTAGTTTGGGCATTTGTCGTGGGTCTAGGGTGACCATAATCGACAGCGTAGAAAACAGGACGGAGGGACGGGGGGGGGGCTTTAGAAAAAGCAAGCTCTCATACTATTCAGTTGACTGAACAGATGTATCTTTTTCTGAAGTTTTTTTGTTTATTTCAGTACACAAGTACGTTTCTTTTTAATTTTTGAAACAAAGCCGAAGCGTGCCAAATATATAATTTGGAAAAGTGACCCGAAAAAAAACGTCTGTGCCAACAGAACGTATGGACAGGCGGAACCACAATAATAGCTCTAAAATCACTCTATGGGAGGTTACATTCTTATGTTACCTTTGTTTCTATAAATGTATTTTGTAATTTTTTTAGATTTCATTTACTCTCGAGGCACTTATTTTGCAAGTATGCAAGCACATTCCGACAAGAAACGGGACGTGATGCTTCATTCAGAAAGAATGACGGGACGGCAGAAATGTATTTCTAAGGCGGGACTGTCTCGTCCAAAACGGATACGTCTGGTCACCCTATGTAGGTTGTACTCATACTTTGTCACATACGAAAGGCTGATCTTTATGGAGCGAATTATGCGACGAATAACTGACCGACTTCGCCCGACTGCAAGCTCGCCTTACGCGCGACGAGCAGCCACTGTGCTGATGCCACGCGCAGAGCAAACGCCGCCGGGCAAAGTTCGTTGATCTTTCTCAGCAGATTCGCCCCATGGAGTCCAGCTTTTGGTGTACAGCGTTGGAAAAGTTGCTGGCACGAGTGATCTCGCCGATCATTTGCGCGCGTTCTCGCGCAAACGAAACAACAGGTGAAGCCACCTGCTCGCGCCTATCCTTCGTCTTTTGCGCTGTTTTAGAGCGCAGCTCTTAGGCGCCCGTTTCCGGTTTGAGCGGCGTCGGCGTCGCCGTCGCCGTCGACGTAACCAAGGTCACCCCAAGGTCACGTGACCCCTCTCAAGGTCACCCCAAGGTCACGTGACCTTCGACGTCACGTGACCCCCGAGGTCACGTGACCCCTTTCAAGGTCACCCCAAGGTCACGTGACCCCTAGGCCACGTGACCCCCCAAGGTCACGTGATCCCCAAGGTCACGTGACCCCCAGATCACGTGACCCCCAAGGTCTCGTGACCCACATGGTCACGTGATCCCTCCCAAGGTCACGTGACCCCCAAGGTCTCGTGACCCCCCGTGGTCACGTGACCCCCCGAGATCACGTGGCCCCCAGGTCACGTGGCCCCCCTCCCCGAGGTCACGTGACCCCCTCGCCCCGAGGTCAGGTGACCCCCCCGGAGCATATTAAAGAATGAGGGGAGGAGGAGAACGAGGAGGAGGAGGAGGAGGGGTCTACCCTCCCCTCAGTACCCTTCCCTCCTCCTCCTCAAGAGCTGCGCTCCAATTTGGCGTTAAAGGGAGTTGTAAACGGCTTTCACTTTTTTTTTTATCCCGAGGTATGTCGTACCAACTAGCCCAAGCCTCAACTTTGAGAAAAGATGAAACGACAAGGTCGTTTAGAGCCGGGTCGAAACGGGAAGGTTGAAATGGGCATGGGGCGAAACGGGGATCACCCGTTTTAATCACAGTCATCCGAAAACATGATGGAAGAGCACGACTAGCGGAACGATCGACATAATCCCTACGCCAGGCGCTGAGGGCCGAGAATCTGCCGTCCAAGCGGTAACACTCTGTCTGAGAAAAACAGAATTGGAGCGGCACATTCTATTCTTACATATTTCTGCATGATCATAATCGAAACGTCACGTGCATCCTATTTTCAACCATGAAGGGTTACTACATTTAACTCTTACGCGCTTACTAGAACCACACATCTATGATGCGCTAGGACATGCATGTTTGCAAACTCCTTTTTTGTACGAACAATTGCACAGTGGAATCGGCTGTCTGAAGAGCAAGTGTGCTGTTTCAATGAAGACGTGTTCTTTTCATCCTTGTAACCCCCCCCCCCCCTGCTGTAACGCCCTCGGGCACTGCGGGGTAATCATTGAATAAAGAATAAAGAATAAAATACTGTTTCTCGATACCACCGCTAGGGGATTTTTTTCGGCTTCAGGTTGACGAAGAGAGCATTTCTAGCACTCTTACTGTGCCTAGTGTACGCCCTGGCTCTGCCCGCGCCTCCCATTGACCAAACTCTCTCTATACACGGCTCTAATAGAGGTTCCCGCATCCTGAGATAAAGTTCCTACCTTACGTTTGCAAAGAGCGGAGATCACAATGGTGTGGAATACAAGTTGCAGAAGCACCATGGAGCTGAGGCTGCAGCCAGTGCCACAACCACGAGAGCTCGAGGTCGCTGCTTTGAAGCGTTATTCCGCAGAACGATCGAGCGCTCTCGCTAGAAATGCATGTCTCAAAGCCTGGAGTGCGGGCTAGCTCGCGTTTGTACCTTTGGCTGCAGTCTCAGCTTGTGAGTGTTCTCCGCCAAGTCACATGCAGGACTAAGTAACTCCATGAGAGAACCATTCTGCCGCGAACTTGCGCTGCTTCTTAAGGGGTATTCACACGAGGGAGAAATATCGGGGATTTCTGCACGGCACGTGCATCCCGCGACGAAAACGTCAGGCTTCGCGATGTGCAGAAACCTCGCGTTTTCGTCTCGTGATGCGCGCGTGCCGCGGAGAAATCCGCGGGATTTCTCCCTCGTGTGAATACCTCTGGTATTGGGGTATTCACACGAAGGAGAAATCCACCCCTTTCCTCCGCGGAGCGCGCATCACGTGAGACATACGTCATCCCTTTTTGACGCCTCGCGGCGCCATTCTCCTCCGTGGCGGAGGCGCGGAGGCTTCGTTCCATCAGCACGAAAGCTTAGCAGGTGCACGCGACGGAGCCGGGGACGGAGTTTCCCGGGTTCTTGACGTCACGCCATCCGTCCACGGAGTTCTCCTTCGTGTGGATACCCCATACCCACACGAAGCAGACCTCCGCGGACGGATTTTGTGACGTCAGCAAGCCAGGAAACTTCGTCCTTGGCTCCGCCGCCCACCTGCGGAGCTTTCGTGCTGACAGCACGATGCATCCGCGCCACCGCCACAGAGGGGAACGGCGCCGCGAGGCCTCAAAAAGGGATGACGTATGTCTCACGTGATGGGCCCTCCGCAGAGGAAAGGGGCGGATTTCTCCTTCGTGTGGATACCCCATTAAGGGGTATTCACACGAGGGAGAAATCCCGGCGATTTTTCCTCGGCACGCGCATCCCGCGACGAAAACGTCAGGTTTTGCGAT